TGAAACACCACAGTTTTAGACTCGTTTTCAACTGAGTCTTGATTTAGACTATGCCATTTTACCAAAATTCATCGTGACGCTGTTATTGCAGTGATTTAAATAATAGTTGCACCAAGGATTAAATGAAATTAACTTAATTAATTTGGGTTTAACTCAAAATTGTTTAACCCTTGGTTATGTTCCAGGACTTCCTCAGGGTATGATGCTAAAATACGCTTGGCCGGTGGCAAGCCGACCGGTAGGTCTGGAAGCGGCGTGACGGAATCCGACGCACCCAGAAGCAAGATGACTTTTGCGGACCTGATTGATTATTCTGAGCCACGACCGATCCGCTATAGAACTCCTGAGTGGAATTCATGATTCATGTTTGTGTTCGACTCAATCACCGTCGACAGAAGCCCCCGTGTCACGGCAGCACCCGAGACATTCCGGCCTTAACGAAAAGTCTCCCGATTCAAACTGACCGACGGAAGACCATTCGGTCTGCCTCGTGCAAGATGGACGGACTGCGTCTCCAAGCCACGAGAGGTTCGTGCCACGATCCCGTTAAGTTCAAAGAAGTGGCTTCGAAAATGAATTTAAATTCTCTGTCCTAAGGCCATGGACGGAGAATGTACGTGCATTTCAGACAGCGGCGGATACAGAACTTTTTCATGGGGGTGGGTTCCCAAGTTCCAACCCCCACCTACTACCACCCTCCGTCCTCTTGCTTTTTTCATTTTTCGTCTAGGGTAAACACCTGAATATCTGTTTCACAGCCCCCCCCCCCCCAAATAATAGAATGTGAACCTGGTCATTTGGGACGGTCACCCCTCCCTCCCTCCTGTATCCGCCACCGGTCTCAGGCAGGTGAAAGGAGGAATAACTGCAAGACTGTAAAGTAGGGTGACTGGGATGAGTAAGAAGAAGCCTGGGAGGCTGCGAAATATCATATCGATTCCAGCAACGTTAATTTGCAAGTCGAAGTATGCCCTCAGTCATCCCAACTTACGGACATGCCTCCAGCGGCAGACCGTCGCCGGCCAATCAGAAAGGCGATTCCCGTGCGCATGCACAACGTAGGAGTTCCGGGTGCATCACGGTCCGTATGTTCATTCGACGTGTCCATTGCAGGTTACGCATCCGTGTGACGAAACTTGGATTGTGCGACAATTGCGACACCGCTTTTTTTCCCAACAAGCCTAGAAAAGAAAAACGTCTGACAACCTGATTTGGAGAGAGGGAAACGGTGTCGCATTTGACGCAGACATGCCTGGAGGGGAGGGGGAGGAAAGGAGGGGGGAGTCCAGAAGTAAGGGGTCATCGTGAAACTCATTCTCTCCCTTCCCTCTCACACTTCCAATATGCATTCAAGCCCCACTTATATCACTAGAGCAGTGTTCTCAGAAAGATTCCCCCCAAAAAACAAAAAAGTCATTCACAAGAGCTGGGACTGGGCATAGGCATCCCCGGCAAATTCAAAGGCAAACTAACGGTACATAATCTCTATAATTTTCTCCAAGTATTCCACAACATTTTGACATTTTTGCTGCAATAGGAAATAATTCATAGGAAGATTTTCTCTCGGAAAACACGGCTTGACTGGTTTCATGAAATCTGAATGAAAATAAATGTATTAATTATCTCCAATCCCACTGGGACTCCTTCGCAACCCCCCCCCCCCTTAGACCCTTTTGCAACCCAATTTGAGAACCGCTGTTAAAGCCTATATGGCTATTTTGCCATTTTTGCTATTTAAAAATAAGGAATCCATTGAAAAAAAAGAGCAAGTGTTTAAAAAATGCTCTACAATGCATATAATTAAATTTTCACGAATTCTGTAATTATGTCCAGTCCCAGCTGTTGTGAATGACTTTCTTATGTTTTATGGGGAATCTTTCAGAGAATAAATGACATTGCTCTAGTGATATAAGTGGGGCTTGAATGCATATTGGAAGTGTGAGAGGGAAGGGAAAGAATGAGTTTCACGATGCTCTCTCCTGGATGCTTACTCCTGGACTCCCCCCTCCTTTCCTCCCCCTCCCCTCCAGGCATGTCTGCGTCAAATGCGACACCGTTTCCCTCTCTCCAAATCAGGTTGTCAGACGTTTTTCTTTTCTCGGCTTGTCGGGAAATAAAAAAACGGTGTACCCCCTCCTTTCCTCCCCCTCCCCTCCAGGCATGTCTGCGTCAAATGCGACACCGTTTCCCTCTCTCCAAATCAGGTTGTCAGACGTTTTTCTTTTCTCGGCTTGTCGGGAAATAAAAAAACGGTGTTGCCAATGTCACCCAATCGAAACTTGTTCCGAAACTCCATGTGCTGTATTGTTTAAACGTATTATTTCACAAATTGAATGACTCAATGACGTTTATTTTGGCGCCCATTCAAACTTTTTGTGCCTACTCATTTGAATAAGAATTTAATGTTTGAGTTTAGTAAAGGGCATCATTTCTAATGGTGTATTTCTCATCAGATCCGGATGAGGAATCAAAACCCTAGACTCCATACTGAAAGATTACATCTCGTTAGTAACTCACCTAATACGGCAGAAATTAAAAGAATTATTTCAACTTTAATTGGTTTGTTTGTTTTTTTCGAATTATCGCCCAGAATTGTGTCAATCGAAAGAGCCTTAGCCAAGACCATCTCAGTCGACTGATTTAGGACTGATGGTTGTTTGTCTTGTTTCGGGCTGCACACCATGAGCATTTCGAAATTGTCTGTGCCAGAAAGTCTTAGTTATATACGTCCTTGTCAGAAAAAGAACACTTTCTAGATCTATTGAATACATTCTTCCCTTCCTTTTGGGAGTCCCAGGAGATGGGTTCGAGATTCGCGGATTGCCCGTGAATTATGACATTGGTAGGAGCTGAGACTTCGGAGCTTCGGGATTTAGCCTCTCGTATTCAGCACTGCAAGACATTCGCAGGAAGGAACGTGAGACATCTAGTTTGAAGAGTGTGCAGCAGCTCCCTAGTGTCATGACGTCACTGGAGGGACTGGGGATCTAGTCGCTCGTTGTCTTTACGGTTCCTTAAACCCCGCAGTCGTGGAGTTTGGTCAGAATGCTCAAGACAGCCTTTTTTGAGGATAGTTTGCACAATTCAAACAACCCTCCATATACAAAAAGCGTATATAACCTATATTAGGGTGACCAAATATATTTCAGGAAAAAACTGGAACACTTTCAAGACATTGCCCAAATGTTAGTCCTTGCAATGCGGGAAACTGGGACACCGGAATGGAAAGAAAATTCAATCCTTAAGATTTATTGACTGCTATACGTCCTTGTGTTCCTCCGGAAACGTCAGTGGATTTTAGTTCACTAAATTGGTTCTTTGCATCTCCCAAAAACCGGAACAGTTTCAAAACGGGGACGTCTGGTCACTCGTAACCTATATCCTATAACCTTCGTATAACCTTTGTCTTTGTATCGGTCTGTGAGCACAGAATACCGTATTTACCAAGTATCGGTCGACTCCGATTTTTGAGCCCCCTTAAAAAGAAAGTACTCATACAAAAGTCGAAGCGAAAGAAGACTAGGCGTATGTACATGAACACGATTATTCGTCATCGTCGAAGAAACATCCTTGCTCTCCTTATCGCTTTCTTCATAAATGTCATCGGAACCGTCCAGCGCGCTCGAGATGTAGCATTTCTGGAAAGCCTGATCATCGCGTTCGGCAGCGCAGTTGATGCTGGCCTCGGCGAATAGAATGACTTTACGCTTGATGGCAGCGATGAAGTTGCGAAAAACTGCGATCGGAGTATCATGGTCGTTAAGGCTCAGATCGCATGCCATACTCCAGGAAATATCCTTTTTTGTATTCTCGAGTTCCAAAGAAAGATGTCCTACGTTCGACAGACTTTCAGGCTTTGTAATATAAGTAAAACTTGCGACAGCAGTCACTTAGGACTAAGAGGAATGCTTTCTTCGCAGCTGAAAATTCGGGAGTGGGACCCTCCTTAAAGTTCAAGTTAAACGTATCTGTCGGAAAGGACCACTAAACATCGAAACTCCACTCCACTTCAGGCTAACGAAGGAACGGACTGCTCTCTCGAATCCATTCGCTGTAACATACGAATCATGAGATCTTGCTGAACATTGTGAAAAACTCGAATAGTTACTTTCCTTGTGACCGGATCGCCACTTACGTTACTTAAACCCATGCTTTTAGGTTTTAGGACCCTGAGGTTACAACTGCATTTTGTTAGGCCTCGGCGTACTCCGTAGTTTAATGCCATAACACTAGGCCTCATGTTGTCTGGGTCCTGTAGACCTAAGGTAAATCTAAGGTCTACCGATCACTAGGCACAGACCTTGTGACTTTTCATTAGTCTAACAGGCATCTTCAATCGCGTCAGTGATAGGAGCATAGACCTACCGTTATATTTGGTTTAATCACTGGAAGGCCTCTCGTATGGTTCCAGCCAGTAGTTTTTAAATAACACGGTAAGGTGTGATGTAGAACTAGGTCTACCAATCCTGGATGACCATGCAATTTTCATTCTTTCTGTATACATCGGCGAAAGTACATATAAAAAGTTGTGAACCCAATTGTAACAGAGTACAAAAATTCAAAGGAGAAATTCCATCTGTGACCTAAAAAGTGTGGCAGATGTTGAAAAATGGAAAAGGGCCTTCAAAGAGTGGAATGTGGGAATTTACCTTTTGACCCCAACAGTTCATTTTTATATGACAGGCACTGTAATGAAGGCAAGGTGTTGCAATATTTGGAGCACCCACTTCTAGTTGAAGTCACCAGAATCCATCACGAGAAGCCAAGATTGAAGCCTGCAGTTCCCCTTGTATTCCCTGGACTGCCCCTCGTGCTTTATTTGTCCGTGGAAGTAGGGGCAATGGAGCCCTGGCAAGCAGATGACAATATCTTCAGGAGAGGTAGACTGCCCATTCTTGAGCTTGCTTTCATTTAATGCATGCAATCAGTCAGGATTTGACCAATTGTAAAGTTTGATTGTCTAACATTAATTTCCTCATATTGCATGCATGAATCCATTCATGGGGTAGATTTTTTGAAACAAGAGATTCAGCCAGATATGGTCAAATGGCTGCTATCACTATGATATTCCTTGCATATTCCAGGAAACATTCCTGATGTAAACATAAAAACAGAACTTCCAAGAGTGCTCAGGAATAAATTTGCTATTCTGACCGTGATTTGCATGCATAACATAGGCATTACAATTTGGAACAACTTGTGGTTTCATTGCAGACTTGATGTCATCTACTGCTGCTGCAAGTTCCAGGCTTCCTTGATCCTCAACTGGCAGATCTCATCTGAGGCAGATGTAAAATCATTAAAGAAAAGGATTCTTGTCTTCACAGCATTCAAGTAGATCAGGTGGGGCTGGTGCTAATTAGTCAAGGATATAAGTAGTGGAGAACTCTACACCCAGGCAGCACACTGCTGGGATGCAGCTGAGAAAGAACTGAATGTGCTGCTGTGAGAAAGAGGATAAAATCAGTGGAATCTCAACTGGCAATGTCACACATCTTGCAGCTGAGTAGCAGCAGAGAAAATGGAAGAGAAGCACTGCTGTAGCTCAGCTGTGATCCAGGTGTGCTGGAAGCTGGTCTGCCCTGCTGCACTGCAGCAGAGCACATGCTATTCAACCCCTACTATTCACTGTCTGACCAGAGATGATATCACCTCCAATAACACAACTCCAATAGCATTAATAGAGAATAAATTTTTATTGAATGTTATGTTTAAAAAAAATCACATGAAAAATCAAAAAGCCTCTGGCTTTTCTTAAATGCACAATACTCAATACACAATCCAAAAAAGAACAATGAAAGGGTTGACAATACAGATGCTTCTCTGTTGTATCCTCACACCCCTTCAAACATAAGAGAAAAAGAAAAGCTCCACAAAAGGAAAAAAACAATCAGTTTATACTATGCGTGGTTGAATAAATGGTGAGATGTACAAAGTCACAGTCATTGGCATTAGAATGACATTGGCAAGACCTATTATGAGCAAACCTACATCATTTTCTTCAAATAAATCAAATAGTCGTTCACTGAAAAAGACAAAAGTGAATAGAACAATTTATAAATTAAATTTTACTTCAAGGAAAACATATACTCATGAAAACATTCAGTCTTTGGCATTTAACTTTTTTCCTGACATATCCCTGGTTATGCCTCATAGGTGATATGCATTACAAAATTGCACATTGAGGTGCTGCTTTAGATGAGAAATATGGAATTTCGAATCCAAGTATGGACTTTTTCTTTCATTTCAGCATCAGTAGTAGTTTTGGTAATGTGATTTTGTTGCACAGCAGCTGGAAAAAGGATGTAAAAAATTAAGTTGCTCAAGAAATCAAATGAAAGATATTTGAAGTCATTGAAATGCATAGTTGCAAGCATTATGAATAAGTACAGTATAGTATAATGTGGGTGGCAAGCTTCTAAGGAAAAGGATGAGATGTTATGAGGACTTACTTGGACAAAAAGAAAAGCTTACTTTGTCACAATGAAGAACTGGGGGAAAATCAGTTCACTTTTGCTATGAAAGTTTTTATCTAAAACTTTTAACCCTGTCTGAAAGGCTGAAGCCTTATAGCTAGGATTAACCTAACTTGCATAGCCTAGACCAGGAGCTCTCAACCTTCAAACTATGAGCTTCCATTCTCTGGATCCCAATCTTTCCCTGATTCTGTGTTTATTTTCATTTTTGTTGCCTGCTTTCTTTGTCTCTCTGCCTACATCCTCCCCTGTGGGAGTATAGTATCAGTCTTAAGATCAAGGAGGTGTACAGGGATTGGGCTTGAAGTTGCAACTTCTCCCCCCTCCAGGTTTTCTTCATTATTTTTTGTATTACTGCCACCAACCTCCTCACCCTTCCTGTCTCAAAAAATTTCATGACTATTCCTCCCCATAGGAATATGTACCCTAAAAACATGTCTTTCATCGCATAGCAACTGTTAGCTCTGGTTTTAGAATTGTTAAAATCCATATTGGGTACCTCCAGGATGTTAGGACTTTCAAATACTACAAACCTGTAAAGCACCCCTGGTGTTGGGTGAATAGGCTTTAGGCATGGGTCCATTGATCCAGAGAAAATGTCAACTGCCCCCAATCCTGGGAGCAACTGCTCATATGGGTAGGTGGGGAGGCCATTGTGATGTTCTTGAGCAAGAAGGGTTGCTTAGCAAAACAAGGCAAAGGAATCAACAGATCTATGAGTGATATGAATCCCCAACTAAAATATTAATGGTGCTTCTGCACAGTAGCACTCTTTCCGCTCTTCAGGTGACTTGTAATTTACATCCTGGAATCATGAGGGAGTTGGAGTGGAGAAGGGGGTGATCCATCATTTCTATGGGTTCCTGTTAATTAGTACCTGGGAAAACTGATGAGTCACACAATATGATGAGGATGTTCATCTTAGATGATGAGGATGTTCATCTTAGATGATGAGTTGTTCCTGTTCAAATGAAACAAGAGGAAAGATGAATGCAAAGCACCCTTCATTTTTGAGGCTTGGATTCTGGGAGGAGCTTCAGAGAAGAAATTCAGTTGTTATATTTGTGGAACAAGAAATAATACTTCTCTTTATCATCATTTAATGATTTAAATACTCTGTCTGCCTGGAGAACTAGATTAGTAGAGTTGTATGAATGGTGTGCTTCTCATGTCTTTTGAATTTGAAGAATGAGGAAAGCTGTTGAGGATTTGTGAAATTAACTTCCATTCTTTGTCACTTGTTTGATTCTGCCTTTGAAGTGGCAATCCCAAGGTATCAATTAATCCTTACATGGTCATCATCAAATATATCTTGATAACCACACCCCAGTGTGAAGTTTATGGGACTGGTGATGTATGACTTTGTCAATGCAGTATATGACAAGGATTGGTGATGATAAAGAGAAATTTTCTTCCTTGTTCCAAAAATATGAAGCTGAATTATTTCCTTGAAGCTCTTCCCAGAATCCAAGCTTAAAAAAATGAAGGGTGATATGCATTCATCATTCCTCGTATTTCATTTGAAAGGAATAACTCATGATCTAAGATGAGTACCCACATCAAATTCTGTGGGATTCTTCATCAGTTTTTACAGGTGCCAATTTATTTGAGCTCATGAAAATGGATTGTCACCCTAAATCATACACACCCTACCCCCTTCCTTATTGTTCCTGGAGACATGTTATGGTCCCCTGAAGAGCTGAAAGAGTGCTGCTGTGCAGAAGCACCATAGAGGGATACATATCACTAATAAATCTATTAATTAACTTGCTTGGCCTTGCTTAACAAGCAACTCTTCCTTCTCTTGACCCTCACTCTGGCCCCCCCCCCCTACCTACAGGGTGGGGCAAGAGGCTTGCCTCCCCTAAAAGCTTAATATTGTACCCTCCTGAACAAACCAAATATATATTTTGAAGAAAAATCAAATATAGGCGCATTGAATGGAATGGTTTGAGCTTAACGCTGTGAATCAGTATAGTACCCCTCCGAATCCGGCACTCCCGCGACTGCCACGCGCGCACTGACAGCCGTTTCCTGCTGCTCTAAGCATCTGGGCGTCACCAATACAGAAGAACCGATTGGAGGTAACTCCGTTTGTGCGATCGTACCTCCCCTAATCGATTGCTTTTGATGGAAATATTAAGGCTATGCATCCGATCTCGTAATTTCTATTTAGTCCGAATTTTTGCTGATATATATATTCACATGACTTTCATACATTCCCTAATGCTTCCTCGTCCCTTTCCCTATCATCGCCTCTGTCCAGCTCTCTTCCCCCATCTGCCCACTTCAGCTCTGATTTCCCGCTAGCTAGGCTCGCAAGTTCGCCAATTATTTGAACCTCTGCCTGGGTTTGTTGATAACGTCTCGAAGTGCGTTTTTATTCCGCACCAAAATTAAAAACTGAATTTTCCTCATGCCTCCTGAGGTTCTAAAATGACAAGGTGTAGAAAATGCGCTTAAAAGAAGACACTGGGAGGCCATATCTAATTTTTAATCTGAACTAACCATAGAATTCGCCCACGACGTAACCCACGCAGACCAACTCTTTCCTGGGTTTTCCCGTCAGAGCGCACAACAGAGGCACCCCAGTTGAATGCAAACTGTTGAATAACCGCTGCTCTTCAAATCGCCGTAATTGCCTTTATTACTGCTGGATAATCACAGCAGAAAAACGCTTCGGACGTTACTGGGCTTCCTCAACTGACTTGTCTCTGCTCCTTCCCACCTGAATCCTTGCTGTAATTAACCCGTTATGTGGCAGCTGATGGGATGCTGCTGTGCCCCAGCCGCAGGACAGTAGGATTATATCACTGTATATCGCTATTTTCTGGTCTGCCAGCGTTAATCTCAGCAGTGACACAGCTGGGATTCAAGAGTCATGTTCATTGGGCAGACTTTGATCGAAAATTGAAGCCCTGATGGAAAGAAGTGGAACTATGAGCAAGTGCATTAAAAAGCTGAAAAGGGAGTTGGTAGGGAAAAAAATTGGTCAAATTCTTCGCTTCCTTGAAGGCAAGCACCATTATTTTTAGAAGCAGCAAAAATGATCCAGTGCCATACCGAGAATGTATGCGATGTAATCCTGGATGGGTTTAGACTTGGAATAAATTTCAAGAAAAATCATGACTTCCAGAGAGAATGGTTACTTCCCTCTGCAGATATTTTCACTCCTTGGCTATCTCTAGAACATAATCCCAACTTTGGATTTGAACCAGACCTTTGCAGGCACCTGAAGGAGAAGCTGGCATACATCCCTGAGTCATCACAACATGATGCACTTGTGTTTGATCAGATGTCCCAATTGCTCTTGTCGCTTCAGAAATCTGAGCTGCAATTATTTGAGCTTGTTGATTTGGAGAGTGTTTGCCTGGCACAAAAATGAAAGCAGATACAAGTCATGCATCAGTGATCTCACTCCAAGCTTTCTCGGGTGGATCGATTCAAGGAATGAGGAACTCTTGCAGCAGGAGGAGCTGCACTCAAGACTACTTTCACAAAACTGCTTCTTAGTTGCACCCTGTAGCTTGAAAATTCAGAACCAATTGTGAATGCCATCATATGTTATGATGCTTCTACCATCCAATCCATATATTGGCTAAAAAATAAATATTTGTTCTGTCGAGCCATATTTTTTAAAGTCTCCATGGATCATTCTCATGGGTATTTGGAAATGCTAAGTATGCTCACAGTTGCTATTGCATTCTCCACGTATAATACTTTTATATGGCCACTGTGAAGATAGAAAGTAATTTTCTCCTGTTTTATTTCAGCAACCAAGGGGTGAAGTTCTCTACTCTCACTATGCATTCATACTTCACTATGAATTCAAACTCCCCTAAACTGCCCTTAGGCCTGTCCCAAGTTGAAACTCATCCTGCGAAATGCAATCCAAAAGAAGCATATGAAACCCCCAGTGTAAGTAAACTCTGATATTTCTTTCATATTGTGACCTGGCAATTGTTTGGATTTTGAATTTTGCAAGAGGTATGACTGCTTCTTAGCTCCTCAGTGAATCAAGCTGCAGAAATGTGAAATCTCAGTTGCCTTCACGTGGCAGATGAACCACTTGACATTGCAATTAGAAGGCTCCATGTTGAAGGTGCTGGATCATCCTCCAGTCTTGTGAAAGTGAGCCAAATTGCATAAGACTGTCTGGTTGCTGATGTGTTTTTTTTTCACGTGTGTCCTAGTGATCTCATTTCATTCCTTATTTTTTTTAGGTCTTGACCGATAACTAAGGCTTCTTGGATGACTGGTAAAAATATGAAATTTGCAGAAGCAGAACCCAGATGGAAGAAAGCACTTCCTCTTGAGGCAGAGATTCCAAGGATTGTCCTTGATGAGTTTTTTCCATGGACAACATGAGTTGTCTTCCTTGCAATAAATACTCTTTGTGCTTGTGAGAAATTTCAGGAAAGTCCCCTGGCAGTAAGTTTTTGTCTGTTGTTTGCAAGTTATCAACTCAGCATATGCTACTGACTGGATTACGTTGTTGAGTGAAATTATTTCTCTTGCAGAGGGTCTTTCAGATTGTCAGAGATGTGATGTGATGTGATGAACACCCTAAAATTGATCGGTTTCTTCGTCTCTACCGTCTTCTATCATCCCATAGCTCTGTAAAATCACAGCAGAGGTCTAATGTGCAGTTTGGAAGGTCAGCAGTGCTGCTGGATGTGAAGAGAGTCTGCATTCACTAAGCTACTACAGGAAATCTAGTTGACAATTTGGCAGAGAGTTGAAAGTATTCTTGGAGAACCCATATTCCCTGATGAATGATGAAATTGGCTCAAGAGGCCATGAATATTCCAACTTTGAGCCTTCAAACTGCCATTTTTCTGTCTGATGAAGCTTTTTGCTGGAAAAGTATCATGCATGACCTAAGTCAGAACCCCTCTAAGGGGACTATTGATTGTTGCATTCCAGAATCATGTTTTCTGAACCTTGATGAGGAACTCACTTCCCCACTCTTGTTGGAGGAGATGAGGAGATTCGTGCGAGCGCAGAGCTTCAAAATCCAGGACTTCAGAATTCTGTCCACCATGACATTGTGGACAATGTTATTCTTCTTCAGGATTTTCACACCAGAGCTTTGTTGCATTCGCCAAAGAGATTCCTTTCCATCTTGTGTTGAGTTTATTTTTCTGCTTATAAATGGATGTAAATGGAGCTGCAAATCAGAAACCTGTTAATTGCAGAAAACAAAACCGACATCAGTAGCCTGAACTCCTCTCATTCTTGCAATTCTGTGTTCTGGCCCTTTGTAAAAATATAATTTTCTTCAGAAATCCCAATTCTATAGCACTATTTCCCCACAATTTCAGGGTGGATGGGATATCATTTGGAATATAAAATATGGCTGCAACGAACCAATCGGACTTCTTGAGGCAAGGAAAACGACTGTCTACCCTCAGTGAGCACATTAATCTTCTCTCGGGCATTACTATTTTAGAAAAGAACCAGTGCCAGGAGATGCAATGGATGTCACCGACTAATGAAAGGGATGGCCGAGTACCAGTTAGAAGCACAAATTCCATATCATCATAAGCACATGTTTCACACGGCAAAAGGCATCGCCCGATGCTCACACAGCGTGCAAGACTTATCGAATGCGGGCCCTTGACAATGGTTTCGAAACCACACCATAAATCGCATAGGGAACATCCCCGCACGGATATCGAAGCAGAGACCACGAAGCATAATTGCTCATGGGCATGCTGCTGCTGTCATTGCCATCTGGCTGGAGCTCGAGTCCCCCCATCGGCTGGATTCCTGTTCCCTTAAATAAATCTGACGGGCTGATGGAACGGCGTTGTGTGAGCTGCCGGCCGTCAAGTCTCACCTTTATTTTCTGCGGAATTTCTAAAATCCTTTATTGGATTTTAGTACTCTGTGAGAGTTCTGCTTTGCGAGGATTTTCATGTTTATTACAGGTTCAAAAAAAAAAAGCAAAAAGTTCCGTCCTGTAAATTAAACAGAATGGACAGTGGAAGTCGGAAATGTCACAACAGATCAATCCGAATCCTAATCCCACCATCCGCAGCTGGATTAAGAAAACCGGTTCGTTTTGACTTAACCATACCTGCTTTCATCACAGACTTTTTTGAGGTAAAAAAAACAAACAAGTTTTTAACGTTCGTTTTATGGTTGTATTCATCGGAAATTATCTCCATGGGGGGGCCAGACGCTGTGTTGAAATTCTCGACCCCCGCTCGATAATTCAGAAGTACCGACTGCTGCTGAAATCAAAAATACTGCGCCGCGTTTCCTCGATCTGGGTCGACTCTCTTTGTAATCGCGGCGGGAAATTTTCGCGTTTTTTTTTATTTCGCGTTTTTCACTTGAAATTCTAAATTCAACTTGAAAGTCGATCGATCAAGGATTTTTTTATTTTTTTATTTAATTTTTGTTGGATCCAGCTTTTTTGTAAAACCGGAAATCAACCGGATTTCCGGTCGTTTCAACAGACTCGTGACCTTTGCTTTTAAGTGACTTTCAGTGACCTCTTTTCAAGGTCTGCACCCAAGCCCTTGACGAAGGATTCTCTGCTTCATTTCTTGCAAGTCTAGCCTCATTATTCATCGTGAACAAGCCGTTATTCATGAAGCACCAGCCGTTATTCGAAAACTTTTCGCCTCCGAATTTTTTTCCCCGTTTTATTCGGAAAACCCTGTCAAATCCAAGTTCTTCAGCAAATCTAAGCTGGCCCATGCAAAAATTCCAGTCAATTTGTCACTCGATGCATTTTGCCTGCAAAATTAGTTTCTGCCTCAATTTCCCTCTTGATTGAGGAAGCATGAAAACCATATATCTCAAAGGTCAAAGGTGGTAAGCCTTTTTTTTTTAATTATTGCATAGGGTAAAACCACAAATGCTCTGACGGCTAAGCCGGAATAGAATTCTAAATTGCTCGTCACCCCTTAATGGTACTTTTTACCCAGGTACATTTTTTTTCGCGTCCAGCAGCGCAATACGAGTAGGCACGAGTGCGATAATGACGATGACGCCTTCCAATAATTCTATCACGTGGGTGTCCGAACTTAGATGCGAAAAAATGAAGTTGGAATCGAACGTAGTTCGGACGCACCAGAAGGCGGAAATCTGCTCACGGCATGCTTATTCCCTTGTGCTCTACGTTCGCGGCATGCTTATTCCCTTGTGCTCTACGTTCACAGCATGCTTATTCCCTTGTGCTCTACGTTCGCAGCATGCTTATTCCCTTGTGCTCTACGTTCGCGGCATGCTTATTCCCTTGTGCTCTACGTTCCCTGGTTTCCTGCCGAATAAGAACTGATCACGGAATTAAGAATACCGCGTGAGAAGCGTTTCTCAAACGAAGACGTCTTGAATTTGTGCCCGATATGTCGAAATCGTGCTCAGAGATCGTGGCCACCGCAAGTCTTTCCTTATTAACAAGGTCATCTCGGGTCAAGAAGAACTCTCTGAGGTCGATCTCGCGAACTCGTAGCCAACAACAATAAGCGCTAGAGCGTCCGGTGCTTTCCCCCCATTTGGAAAGAGCCGCTCGCAACCGCGGTCGACCCGAAAGCGACACCAGAGACCTCTGACGTCACCCGGGCGAAATTCCCGTCACGTCGGATCGCCGCGTTTCGCCAAACGGCGAAATCCCCTCCACGATTCAAAAATCTCGCAAGAGACCGACGAAGAGGCACTCGCCGCGCTGCACGCAGTCGAATGGCGCAAGATCCCTCCCGCCCGATTGGCTGTCCGGCGCGTGACGTCACGGTGGCGCGATTGGCTCGAGGCGCGTGACGTCGCGGAGGCCATGCCCTCCGACCGAATCGCTCCGGCGGTTTCCGGCCTCATTTCAATCGAAATTTCCGGGAAGTCCCCGCTACGAGTCGATTTCCTTCTGGCTTAAAATGACTTTAAAATTCTCGTAAATTCTCTCATAAAATATATAGTTATAATAAAAATGAGATATTCCTTGCGTTTGTGAAGGGAGTTGACGGACGAAAACGCCATTTGGCCTCGGTTTATAAGGTAAAGGCGACTCGAACCGGGATTTCCTTTTGCGGTGAGACAGGAAATCGGCCCCCTCGTCCCCCCCCCCCCCCCGCACTATCTGATCGGGAAGCTCCGCATGTCGACATGCAGAGGATTTCCCTGGGGGTGCCCAAGTTTGTCCTCGGTTTTCCGCTTTCGCTGTTTCTGGATCGGAGACTTGCATTTCCCCGTCGCGGGAGGCGAGAGGCGAGAGAACGCCGGCCGGAAATATTAATTTAGGGACCAGGCGCGAATCAGCACGAACCTTCCGAACCGCCCTCGAAAGCATCCACCCGACGACGCATCAGACGGCGATGACGTCAGAGCGGCCCCAGCCAATCGGCGCGGAGGATCCCCGGAGGTGGCGCCTCGTCCACCGCGTGCCTCCCCTGGCCGTCGCAGTCGTGGGAGTCGCGGCGACGGGACGAGTCTCTCCGGTGCATCTCCTAATTTTTTTTTTTCCTCTTCGAATTTAACGCAGTAAATGCGACGTAACGCCAACGGGTCAAAAGGCAAATTACCCATGCACCTGCGGAAACATAGGCTGGGCAAGCAGGAAGCCGATTGAACCGATTTGGACCGATCAGATACGCAGAAACCACCGGATGTCACTTGACCTTGTGAGTCCTTTTCCCTCTCCCCCCTATTTATGCTCGGAACCTCAAGGTCAGAAGGCTCCCTCACTCCCGACTGAGGCCTATCACAACTTCTACAAACAGCTGCCGCCCAAGGCAAAGGACGGAGGGGGAAGGAGGAGAAGGTGGGAGGGGAAGGGGAAGTTGGGGGGAAGCCAATGTCGGTTTCTTTGAGGTCAGTGAGCTTGAAACTACTGCACGTGAAAGTGAGAGTAAACAACTGCTTTGCATGAGGGAAGCTAAAAAAAAAAAAAGCGTGACGCAATTGCTCGCGGGAAGACCGTTTGTCCTTTCGTGCCCTTGAGAGGAGCCCTCTGGACTTGAAGCCCCGGGCAATCGCCCTCTTTGCCCCTTCCCTAGAAACAGCCCTGGGTCATCCGGTGCTAATGTGCCCGGGCTGTTGCAATTTGGGTCGAGTTGGTTGTGCTGGGGGGGGGGGGGGATGAGATTTATGCGTTTGGGAATACCTGGACGAAGACGAATTCTGATTTGCATTTTTGGCCGTCTGCATCGTCGGAAGCTTCGTAAATAAACAGGAAATCGATTTTTGTGATCTGGCTTTCATGCGGTGAAATGCATTTATTCCTCTCCTTTCTTCGATAAGATCAGGACAGAAAACAGAAATATACTTCGTTTCCTCGACAAAAAAAAAACTTGTTCCACCTGACAGGGTCCCTGGAATATTTGATTTGCATTAGGCATCAAGAAAAGGATAAGGGATACTCGAACCAAGGACAGAACAATATTCCACTGCGTATGAGGAACATCAATGTCATCTCACGACCTTCTACAACCCACTAAGGCCCAACCTTAGGCACTACCCCCCTTCCCCCCTTCCCCCCTTCCCCCCTTCCCCCACCCGATTCAGATCCAGGCAGTACCCTTCATCCGTTGCGTATCCAGGTACTGCCCTTCACCTTTTCCGTGTCAGGTACTTTCACGCGCTCTTCGTACTCGAACCGGACGGGAGGTTCTCGGGACGGAATCGTTAAGTACCGAGGCCGATCGCAATCGGCACGACCTTGACCTCCTTCGTTTCGGCTCGTTCGGCCTCCACGGGGGCGACGGGCGTGCGCTCCCGGTCCGTTCGCTCCTGTGATCGCAGGAGCGGTCGCAGGAGCGGTCGCAGGTGCGACGACTACGGTCCTTTGGGCGCTTTCGTTCGGGATCTGTCGCATGATGGGAAATAATCAGTCGGCATTCCGATCTCGAGTGTGGCTCGGACGATGATAAACCCTTTCGGATCTCCTGCCTCTTTTTGTCCGGTCATTAATCGTAGCGGCGGCAAATTGCAGGAAATGAGATTCGTTCAAGGTGAATCCTTTTCTGTGCAATGACGAGGGCGAAGTGGATCGCGTATATATAATATGGAGATGAAGTAAATGCGAAATAGGCATCTTCGGGTTTTCCCCAGGTGTTTTCCGAGGGTGTTTGGGGTTTCCGGGAAAAGGAAGGTGACCTACTTAACCACGTGTCCACCTTGTTTTCCTGCACCTATTGTTGGTTGGGACTATTTTTGTAGTGGGGGGCGAAAGGGGGGGGAGGGGGGCAGGGGGGGCGATTCTTTTCAACCCTCTGCCTGTCTCGGCTTGTCACCGTCGCTGATTAGGATTTTCTTTTCTCACGCGGGTCATCGTCCACGTTATGGTACTGTTACGGCACCTTTTCAGCCGGGGGTCATTGTTCGCGCAATCTTTCCCCGCGCCATAAACTCGTAAAAAGAAAGAAAGGAGACGAACTTCCTCTTTCGACGTTCCCAATCGAGAAGCATTCGTGCATGCCGTGTGAACCCGCGAAAACCGCACGTTTCCTCAAAAACCCAGCACGAGAGTCCACGCCTTCGACGAAGCGGACGAGAGGGAGGGGGCGGAGGGGGGGAGGAGGAGGAGGAGGAGGAGGAGGGGGGGAAGGGGGGGAGGGGGGCTATGCCATTACGTAAGGAAACCGATTTCGACATCGCGGGGTCTCGCACGGAATGATGGAAGAGGGTTTCCCGCGGGACGGAGCCGGTCGTCGCCCGGGGCAGGCCGGAGGGGAAGAGGCAGGGGAGGAGGCTCGGCTTCCCCTGGCATCCAGTCAGTCGGTCGTCGGACGACATCCGCGCATCCACGCCTCCCTCCTCTCTCTCGCCTCCCCCCCGTCTCGGTGCCTGGCCTCACGCGTGAACACTTGGATGGGTGAGTCTTTCCGCTTTTCGTGCTGGGTTCGGTGTCGGTTCCGAGTCGCGAGGGTTTTCGTTCGGCGTTTGCGGTCGTGATGCGCGGGGAGAAGCCGTTTTTTTGCGTGCAGTCGTGACCTCTCGAGCGACGTGTCGACCTTGCCTTCGCGGCCCAGTTCGTGAAATGTAGAACGAGATATCGTTGCGGATACCTCGAGGCTCTCCGAGGCCCTCGGAGGCTCTCCGAGGCATCCGTAGAAGGAGGTCAGGCAGTAAACCACGAGGAGCACGAGAAGCCGAAGTACGGTGCATCGATTTTAGAACGGCCTGGGGTCTCGTTGCCCCAGGCCCGAAAAAGCATTTTTTTTTTCCTCCCCGCTTTATGAAGCATGTCTGAGGGGACTTTGCCCTTCTTCGGCCCTGTTTGGCCCCAGACGGAGCGTATCCCACTGGGCTTTGCCCTTCTTCGGCCCTATTTGGCCCCCGACGGGACCACAAAGGAAAAAATGCTTCGTCTCCTTCCGTTGTTTCCCGGAACATATAGGGAACGGCGAGGAGTGTTTGTTTCCCGGTTCCTTTCGCGGGACGGAGGCGCTTTACGGTCGGGACTCCACCTGCAGTCACCTGCAGATGCACCTGGTGTCGCGACTCCGCTATGGAGGCTCTCGCGCCTGGGGTGGCGGGGGGGGGGGGGCAAATTTACTGCCCCTCCAGGTAACAATGGGACGCTCGGGGATGGGGAAATACGCCATCCATTCCATGTAAATAAAAAGCGATACTCGTAATGACGATGACGATAAATCTTAATGATGAAGCGGGCGGGACGGGAACGGACGCGTTCAAGGTTTCTCCCCTCTTTCGTCACGACGAAAGACCAAAGATGGGAGGCGAGGTCCAGGTGCCTAAGGGTGCTTCGCGGAAGATCCGCGTGCACGTGGCGTGGGGATGCAAATTGGGGGCGGAAGTCCTTCGAGGCTGCGGCCCGTCCCGCCGCGATCGTGAGGTCCAAGGTCCGAGAATGGACCAGAAAATGTAAAAGTCCGGCATTGAGAGGCAAACAGGCCTTCGAAGGCTGGGGCGGTTTCGCAGTCGCATGTAGTTCAATGTCGTGATGGTCAATGCCGCGTCCAGGGGGAAGGGGGGGGGGGGAAGCCCCACAAGATTGCGTTGCGGTCTTGTCAAGGTAAACTGTAGGATTTTTTTTCTCTTTTGGACGATAAGGTGGTGACGTAACCAAGGTCGACCACTTGCATACCCCGAGGACAATCGCCTTCTCGACTCGCACGGGGAATCCCGATGACCAAAAATCGGGGGAGAAAATGTAAATGGCAGAAGCGCAATAGCCGTGACAGTGGTTGGATATTAGCGACTCACGCCCGTCACACACACCCCCCCCCCCCCCCTTTTTTTTTTTTTTTTAGTCACAGGATCCCCCCCCCCCATTTTTTTTTTTAACGAGGCTTAATTGCAATTTCCGATGAAATTACATCCTCGGTGGAAAATTGAGGTGATGCTCCAGCACTATTGAAGGTGACCCACGTTCCTCGCGAACGGATTAAAAGTGCAAGACGTCGAATGCAGACAATCGGTCCCGTGCAGTTCACTTTGCATACGACTGCTTTTGTCGTCTCGATCCGATCGTCACGGGTCGTCGACGGCGCGAGGGGAGCACCATTGCGCGCGTGTGCGTGAACGGGGCGTGAGGCAGTGTGGGAGATTCCCAGGCCGTGGAGACTCCCGTTGCCAAGGTCCCTCGCGCCCCCCGTCACCGAGGCAGTCACCGAGGCAGGCTGCCTCGGTGACGGCCGCGGTCCCCGATCCCCTCGGCGAGGAGAGTTAACGCAAGGGCGTAATTGTTATGACGCGGCACCGTTACTGGGTAACCTTGACGGACCTGGCAGGTTTTTAAAGGTGACACTTGCCGTGTTACGCCTCATCGCTTCCAATGAGCTAATCCCCGCCCTAATCTGTGCTAATTCCCGTGGTGAACCCTTTCTCCGTCGGTGTTCCCGCATCGCCCGGGAGCGACACCCGCACGCACCTCCGCGTCACGCACTTACCGCACACGGCAAACATCGTCGCATTTTGAAGGCGAGCGGTGACGTAACAGCCCAGAGAAAAAATTCATTCTCCCCTCGCTATTGAGTGAAAGGAAATGCCGAAGACATTTCGTTATGCAATAGCCCGGACGATGCTCTCACGTGCACGCCCCACTCGGCTTCCTCCGTTCCCTTCCAATTACCACATATTTACTCTATTTATTTTATTTTATTTATTTAAATAAATTCCCCAGGCGGATTCCATGTTCGGTACGAATTAATTCCGTCTCTGAATATTGCGGCGTGAACTGCAAGAAATTTGAGGACTGGACGTGACGCGGGGGTGTCCGGGGGCTGTTCCCCTTTCCACGTTTTTTCTGGCCGCCGGATCCGAGGTTGTCGGTCGCGGTCGCGATCGGGTTCAATCAACTTTCGGTGCAGTTTTGTTCGTGTCGCGGAGGTTGTTGCCGTCGAGCCCAGCACCTGTGCACCCTCGCACCTCCACCTGTGCACCCTCGCACTTCCTGTGCACTCCGTGCAGCGGTCTCCCTCTGCTTACCATTTCGCATAAATCGGCAACGCAGAGCACGACAAATTCCCTGGTTAGTAATAAATAAATGAAAAGGATCCGCGTGTTTTGTCCTGCGGAAAAATGTCCTTGTTTGCCGTTCGAGCCGGAAGTCTCCGGCTCGCCAGGTGACCTACAGCGTGACATTCGTCGATGCGACTCACGGTGACCAGAGATAATTCGCTCTCCCGTGAGATGGCATCGTCGTTTCGTCGCGGCTCATCGACGAACGTGCACTTCCTTACAGTCGATCATCGCGATGGAATTCCCTTTTTTCCTCGACGACCGGGAATCTGCATGACGAAGGGAAACACGGTCTCTTTGTACGATGAGAAGAACCGAGGAAACCGTCGTGCGGGGTGCCTGCGTTGCGACACGGAGCAGTCCAAACGACAGATCCAAATAAATACACGCACACAAATAAATTATATTTATGTATTTTTACTTTCTTGTGTATATATTTATATATTAGTATATCGGTATATATATGTGACGTTTTCGTTTCCTTCCCGCAGGGGAAAACTGAGTCTGAAAACCGAAGATGCTGCCATCCCACTACGTGAGTTACCTGGACCTGGCGAGCCAAGGCGTGGTGTCGATCCGCACGGCAGACGACTCCGGCCTCGCCAACGTGTCCGACACGGCCAAGACGTTCTTCAGCTTCGAGGAGGAGTTCCAGCGCTACGAGAGCTACAAGTGGATCTACCGCAACTGGTCGTGGAGCCTGATCCTCGCGGCCGCCTACGTCGGCCTCGTCTTCCTCGGCCAGTGGTACATGAGGGACCGGGAGCCGTTCAAGCTGAAGGGGCCGCTGGTGTTCTGGAACTTCGGGCTGGCCGTGTTCAGCACGGTGGGGGCGGCTAGGACCCTTCCGGAGCTCTTCGAGTCCGTCTATCATCACAGCTTCTACCATTCCGTCTGTATTCCGAGGTGAGGGAGGCTTCAATTCTCGTACGTGACGATTGAGGTTTGCTCTGGGGTTCTTGCCCCGAGGGTTTTTTTTTCTCTGAATGGGAGGGTTCGGCTTCGCACGGGGAGTCTATTGTATGAGCAAAGATGTTTGATCGCGCGCTTCCTTCCTGTCCGTTCGCTCCGCGTTCTTTCGGGTGGGCGAGAGTTCATTTTCGTCTCTGGCCCCAAGGGTAATAACAAAAGGGGGGGAGGGGGGGGCTAGGTTCGTTGCACCGTTCGCGGAGTCTCTCTCGCCTGGGGCTTCGGGCCGCACGCCCCGGATGTGCACGCACGGATCCACGCACGCACGGTCCTTTCCGACACTTAGCACGCCTTTCGCAGGGAGGAATGTCGTCGACCTCCTTCCGTCTCCGCCGACCTCGATCGCGTAACGCATGTCCAGCGGCTGTTTTCCCGAATTAACGGAACGCATTCCGTCTCCGGTATCCTTGACCGTTCGTCGGCCGACCTTTTTCTTTTATTCGCCCCGCCGACTAACGAGCCCACCCGAGTCGTCGGCCCGGACGATCGATTTCTCGTTCGAAAGGAGCGCGAGCCCGGGCGTGGACTCGGGATCGCGAAATATGAAGGAGCTCGAAGGCTTAATGCTCAAGGTTTCGTTTCGTCCAGATGCGTCTTTTCCTCACGTTTCTCGCGTATGCGTGTCGAGGCCGTGCGCTTATTTAAGGTAGGGCTATCCTCTCGCAGATGTTTTTTTTTTCTTTCGGTAGGAGTGTCTCTTTCGTAAGGTGCAGTTTTATTTCTTCCTTTCTCCCCTTTCCCTCCTTTTTTTTTTAGTTCTTTTATCTTCCCATAGCTAAGATTTTATTACACCTCTTTGGTTCTTTGTATTTATAAATGTAAGTTCTTAATATATTTATTGATATTGTTTACGGACGACGTACCACTCGAGCATTAAAAAAAAATTCCGATCTCACCGTGCATAAAATAAATTCGTTTCCGGCCAGCCAAGATACCCAAAAATACAGAAAACATTTTCTCTATTACAGCTACTACGGAGAAAACAACGTGACAGCATGCTGGACGTGGCTGTTCGCGATGTCGAAGGTGCCCGAGCTGCTCGACACGGCATTCATCGTGCTCCGGAAGCAGCGCCTCATCTTCCTGCACTGGTACCACCACGCCACGGTGCTCATGTACACGTGGTACAGCTTCGCGGGGTACACGGCGTCGGGACGGTGGTTCATCTCGATGAACTTCACGGTCCACGCCCTCATGTACACGTACTACATGCTCCGGGCCATGAAGGTCCACGTACCGCGCACCCTGGCCATGCTGATCACGGTCGCGCAGATCGCGCAGATGTTCCTGGGGATCGTGGTGAACGCGAGAGCCGCGAAGGCCCTGGGGGAGGGGAGCGTCTGCTCCGTGACCCAGAGGAACATCACGGTGTCCATGCTCATGTATGCCACGTACTTCATGCTCTTCGTCAACTTCTTCATCGCGGCGTACACGAGGAGGAGTCAGAGGCGGCAGGTGAAGAAGGTCCAGTGAGGGGGATGCCGGCGCCCGGTCCAGTGAGGGAGGATGTCTCGTCGCTTGCCTCCGCGTTCTGTTTCGCTGTCCGTAATATTTTTATTTTTAGCCGATGTGAATGGTGTGCCAAACGGAACCGTAGAGAGGGAAAGCCTGATTCTGCTTGAATGGACCCGAGAGAAAGTGAACATGTAATAAAATATCATTTTTATGAATGGATATAAACGATGGAGTGGATTCCATTTCGGCGTGAACGGATCTTACGTTATGCATTAGTTTCCTTTCTCTGTCGTTCGTGACTGTTTGACGCCGTTGCGCCACGCCGTCGGCCGAGATGGGGCGATATACCGGGTCTGTCTGGGGGTGACGGGTGATTCTGACGGGCTCCTGACTCGGCGATGGCCGGACGTGGGGGTTTTTCCGATCGTATTCGATACGGGATGGGACCGGTCAGGAGGAGGTACTGGTCTAGGTACCGGTTCAATAGAGCGAGAAGTTGTTAGAGGCCGTCTCGTTGGCGTTTCTCGATTCGGCGTGCTTGTCCCGATTTTCAATTTGGACTGAAACACGATCGAGCGTTTCTTGTGCCCATGGATTAAATCCTCGCGTGCCCGAACGGAGCTAACCTAAAACATCGAAGTCGGCTGCGACGGAGGGAGGCGATGGGCTCCGTTTCGCAACGGCAAGGCACGTGGAGGGGCTGGCGAGGAAAGGAATGCGGTCGTGATTGGGCCCGATGGGAGAACCGCATTGCCAACCTCGATTATGTGAAAGGGGTAGCCGGTTCGTGTGAGGCCGTGAGCGATGACGGGACGATGTCGCGGTTCTCGCGACACGCAAACGGTCGAGCTACGTGCAGCCCGGAGTCGAATCGTAATTTGTGCAAACGAGGCCGACGGGAACCCGTGCGCATATGGACTGTGATGCCTCACTCCGATGAACATCTGGGAGAGCGCAGGTGGGCGCTGGGCGAGCAGGGAGGGCGCAGGTGGACGCTTCTCAATTTCCAGATTTCGGAGTCGAGGGTCCCGTGGATCCTTCGATTGTTGGCGTTTTCGTTTTTTGGCGAATCAATACAAGGTTTTTGGAGCTTCACCTCCAAGGTGGTTTTCCCGTGGGATCCTTTACCAATCGAAAGGGAGCACCCGATTTCGAGTAAAACGCACAAGCGCGTTTGCTTCACGTTGACGCGTTTGATCGATAGAACGGGAGTTATAACCTCGATCTGTTACGCCTGGGTCATTCCATGTGATCTCAACCGATATTAATATAAAAAGGTGAGCTCGAGATCTTTCCAACGACACGTAATTTTTTTGTCTGATAATTTTTTTTTTTCATTTTTGCATATTCAAAAAGTTCATGTTTTGTCAAAGCGGTTGAAATAAAGTGTAATATATCGCTAGAAAGGTCTCTCGGAACTCCATATAACGATATGGCCTCGTCTCGCATTTTTGTGCGTAGCTTCTTCGCATCGCACGTTTTTTGCTCACGAAACGACCCTTCAGAAGCCTTCGGGGCCTGCACCGAGCTTTCCCGGAAAAGGAATCCGATTCGGTCCAGATGTGAATAAATTTCCTCTCGTCTTCTTTTTTATTTTTATTATTTTTTAATTTGAAACGGTTGCTGTTTTGGGTGTTTGAACTTCTCCGGGGTTAGATTTTCCTCTCGTATCCAACCGGTTGAAACGTCCGAGCGGTCGGGAAGGTTTCGGACGGGATGCTGGTAAGGAGACGAGGCGAGGATGGGTACAATTTTGTCGTCCTTGGGTAAAAATTAGGGTACCAGCTGGGTACCAAAGATGGTGAATGCCAAAGCAAAACGGATCTCGTAGATGTTCTTGTGCGGCAAGAGCCTTGTTTCTGTTAGGTCCGAGAACGTTTTCATCTGATCTTGATGACCAGTCGAACGAAGCTTTCCGGGATATGGGGTGACAGAGTGACATCTGTTTAATCTAAACTATTCTTATTTCACGACGGTCCCCTTTGAGAATCGGTTTAATCGACTTAACTTATTCATATAGAGGCCAATTATGAAAACGAATCGGTTTAAAGTTAAACGAATCTGGTGCATGTCACCCGTGATCTGATGGCACCCATGATGCCGTAAGCGTTTCGACGCATGGAAAAATTCTCGACCGAAGATGGCCGAAAGGAGAAAATTCCAATGTTTAAGTGAATTTTTCTTTATTGAGCTGTCAAAAGTGAAACAAGTAACTCGCTTCATTGACGTACTTGAAAGAGGTCTGAAACTTGCCGTAATGAGACTGAAACGTAACGTAACTGCCGTAACGTAACGAGAGATTGTCTTTTCCCTCACCACACAGTCGGGGAGTCAAAATTGCCTAAAATTCAAAATTTCAAATTCAACAAGGATGCTGAAATTCATTCAAACTCCGAGGATGTAGAGATGAACATTTTTAATCTATTGAAAAACTCGCTGACTGGGGCTGATGATTTTTTTTTAAACAAGGTTGTTGAATCGAGAGCAATCGCTGATTATGTTTTTTTTTATCGCGAAATTCGAAATGATCGAGTTTGCTCGTCTTCTTTTTTTTTTCATGCGAAAGAAGAAATTTCACCGGCAAACGAAACGAGAAGGGCGGAAATCCTTGGGAAAATCCCGGTCGTTCGACGACGAATCGGCTTCGCGCCTCTGAGCCCCGCGGGATGATGAAATCTTCGCGCGGTTCGTTCCTGGATTCCGCGGTGCTTCCTGGATTCCGTGGTGCTTCCTGGATTCCGTGCATGTGGAACGTGGAACAAAAGGAGTCCGTATTTTTTTGCATTTTAGACGAGTCTGCTGCACAAGTGCCGCGGGATCCTGCTGGGGAGTCACGGAGTTTGCCAATAACGACGCACGGTCTCGGGAAGATGCAAGAAGACGAAGCGAAAAAAAACTTCCCAGCTCTTACGACAACGGATCCACGAAATCGCTTCTTATTATTTATTTTTCCCGCACCGAGGTGACCAATTACCCACCGACGGCGAACCGGGACCGCAACCCCACGACTCCGCGCCTTCTTTTTTTTTCGCCGAGTGGGAAGGAAAAAGGATGACAGACGTCTTTCTCCACTTTTCTCGTCTTGTATTCGCATGAGACGTACATGTCGCTCTTGCTCAACAACCTCCAAATGGAAGCACGACCGATTCCATCTGAACATCTCTTGAGTATAAGCGTGTTCTCTCTCCTTCCCCCTCCTTCCCCCTCCTTCCCCCCGCCCCCCTCCTCTCGTGTTGGAAATGAATTGCCTCCGCTCCTGAGATCGCGCAGACCCTCGTGCGTCCGCTTCCCGCTCCGCCGTCCCCCCGCGAAAGTTCGGAAGTGAAAGGGAAAAAAAAGGGGGGGAAAGCGACTTCGCACCCGAGATGCACGATCCCGTGACATTCCGACCCGGTAAATATTCCGACCAACTTTCGCTTCTGGGATGTTTATCGATTTTCCCCTTCCCCCTCCCCCCTAGTTTTTTTTTCTCACCCGAATGCTTGGCATTTCGTCGGGAGAATTTCCGATTCGGAAAGAAATTTCCCTGAAATTGAATATTTTTATCATTATTATTATTATCGGATGTACCAAATTAAAAAAAAAGGGAGGCCCAGTCGCGGCCATTATTACTAGTAAATTACTTTAAAGTTCCTCTCTGACGTAAATAAATACACGGTCGACGTCTCCGAGAGGTTGATAACTTTTAAGCATTTCAAAGAATCTTGCCAGATTCGAGCGATGAACCCAATGGGGAGGAAACCGGAAAAACGGCCAAACCGGAATCGACATCGAGGTTGGACACGCGTAACCGAAACGAAACCGTTAATACTACTTTCTGTCTGGCCATTTTTTTCTTTTTCCTTCTTTGTCTCGTGGTCGAGGAAGATCCGGAAACACTGGGTTGTCAGTGTTGCCGCTCTCTTTTTTGCTTGAGGTTTTTTGCAAATGGAATCTCGCCACTTTTGCCAAAAGTTGCGAGACTCCGTTTCCCATTTCCGTGTTTGAACGCTGAAGAAAAATACGAAACGGGTCCGTGGTACGAACTCGAGCATTTTTCAGTCTCGAGAATTAATTATTTATTTATTTAGATTTCTTTTTATGCATATTTTTTATTTTCCACGCTAAGGCGAAATCGTCACTCGAGAAAAAGTGGACAGGTTTCGTCGATTCCGTCGATACGGAAGGAAAAGGAGTTCCCGGAAGGAGAAAGTTCCGAGTGAAAGAGAAGTTGAACGTCACAATCGCCTTTTTGTTTCCTTCTGTTTTCTTTCTTTTTTTCCGTTTTGTTTTTCTTTCTTTCTTTTTTTATTCGTTTTGTTTTTCTTTCTTTTTTTTTCGTTTTGTTGTTCGATCGCGCGGTTGAATGGGCGCTTTTGTGCTTCAGCGATCTTTTCCTGCGATTTCCGCGTCTGTCCGGTTCCCTCCGTCGCGAAACGAAGGAGGAGTTGGCAATATTGGCACTCGAAGAGGTTGGCAATATCGGCCCCAGGAGAGGTCGGCAATTTTTCCGGAACCCGCGATCGTTTCTCGCTCGAAATCGATCGGAAAGGCTTTCCTTTCTCTTTTCACGGGAATTCACCCGACGAATCCTTGCGTATCGGCTTTATGTAATGAATCTCGTCATCGAAATGGAAGGACTGAAAGGCAAAGTGGTCTATCTGCGGAAAAATTCCGAAAAACGGAAGAATCATCATTACCAATTGGTGATACCAACGTATCACTAATTAAAGGAGATCCCTCAGAATTTGATCAGTGTTCATCATGAGGGTATTTCCTCCTTTGATATGGTTGCGAGCTGTTCAAGAAACTACATAGCCAGGAAAGAAACTGTGATGATGAGGCTCCATCCTTACATCCTCAGACTTCTATGAACAAAGCTACTACTGATGTCTGTTATGCCATCATTTACTATGATTCTAGTACTACTTGGAGAATTTTATATAATGAGCTTGGCATCAGTGGCGAAGACCCCGCAGTCTTTGTCAGAAGTTGAAGAATTTCAGGAGGTGTAAGAGATTCTCTCATCTCCCGACAGTAATAAAAAAAAGGAAAAGTGTTCAAGAGCTGATGCCCTAAAGAGACACCCCGATTTCAAAGGAGACACATTTTGGATATTCTTCTTCACCGTGAAAAATATGTCCAAAAAATGTCCTATAAAAGTCCAACATGATCTGGCTTTCAAAAGATGAGCTACGACCTCAAGTTTTCAAAACCTGTTTTTTTTAATATTATTTTTAAGTCAGATGTCCACCATCAATTCTCAACATTCGCTGTT